CACAAATAACATACTAAGAGAGAAGAATTACGTAGTCATTTTAAAACTTCAATACCAGCATTAAATAAAAGTCAACACTAATGTGTCATTAAAAAAAAACCTCAGCAAACTACTGTTGGGACAGTAGCCTGATTAAAAACAAAACAAAACCTCAGGCTCGGCGCCTATAGCTCAACCGGCTAAGGCGCCAGCCACGTACACCTAAGGTGGCGGGTTCGAATCCCCAGCCGGGACCCGCCAAAACAACAATGACGGCTGCAACCAAAAAATAGCCGGGCGTTGTGGCGGGCGCCTGTGGTCCCAGCTACTTGGGAGGCAGAGACAGGAGACTCGCTTGAGCCCAGGAGTTGGAGGTTGCTGTGAGCAGTGAAGCCATGGCACTCTACCCAGGGGGACAGCTTGAGGCTCCGTCTCAAAAAAAAAAACAAAAAAAAAAAAAAAACCTCAGCAAATATTATTTAGTAATAAAACTCTGGAACATTTCCTTTAATGTAAGGAATAAGGTGAAGACGCTTGCTAGCACGGCTGCTTTTGAATAGTGGCCTAGTAAGCCTGGTCAGCGCACTTGGTAGAAAGGTAGAAACAAAGCTGACACTACTCACAGATGACACTACTGCCCACGGAGAAGATCCAAGAGAATCAATAACAGCAAGAAATAACAAAGTAAATATTAATACAAATGTAAGGTGTTGAGCAGCTGATCACTATTCGAAAGTCAAGATATTCCCATGGGCAAACAAAAAACAAGTAGGAAGGTGGATTTAAAAAATTTAATTCACAATGGCACTAAAATCTTTAAAATACCCCTGGATAAATATAATAAATCTGTTTTATAAAGAAAAGCATAAAATAGACACGTGGATTTAAAAATATTATAACGGACGATTACTGCAACAGACTAACAGCTGAGATATAAAGCCACTTTTATATGGGATATTTGTATGTCACAAATCCATGGGAAAAGGATGAATATATTTTGGCTCCAAAGAACAGAAAATTAACTAAAAGGGCTTAAACAAGGAGAGGTGTTATATTCTGGCAAAACAAGATATTTTGAGATTATATTCAAAGGCATTATTAAGGATTCAGGATTCTGTATTCTTTTGGAAGTCAGTGAGCTCCCCTTATTATCACAAAATGCTTAAAGTATCACAAACATACATCAAGAGGCAGAAAAAGGAGCTTATTTCTTCACTATATATCTTTTCTTTTTCTATCAAGCAAAGAAACCCTTCCCCAGAGGCACCTCTAGCAAATTCCCCTTCACCTTTTTTAGCTAGAAAGCTATTACTAGGCGTGGAATTGAGAATACCAGGATAACTTAAGATGAATCAGGATTTGCCTGTACCATGTAGGGAAAAAAGTAGACACCACAACAAAGCTGATGTTCTGCCATCATGAAAAGGAGGAAATGATTATTAAGATAAACTCTCTACAGAGTAATGGAATATGCAATAAATGGCTTAGGGGGGAAATAGGCCAGCCATATGGAAGAAAGGAAGATTGTGATCCTAATAATGCCAAAGACAAAAATAAATTCCAATTGGGTTAAAGATTCAAATGTCAGAAATAAAAGGTAGACCGGGCACTCTGGGAGGCCAAGGCAGGTGCATAAACTATGAGGGATATACTAGGGGGTCTTCCTCATAAAGCTTTTTCCCAGGCCAATATCTTCAAGTGTTTTCCCCACACTCTCTTCTAGAATTTTTATTGTTTCGTGTCTTAAATTTGAATCTATGATCCAATGAGAATCAATTTTTGTCAATGGTGAGAGGTGTGGGCCCAGTTTCAGCCTTCTGCATGTGGATAACCAGTTCTCCCAGCACCATCTGTTCAATAAGGATTCTTTTCCCCATTGCATGTTTTTATTTAAAAAAAAAAAAAAAACTATAAAGGATAATACTGATTAACTAGGCTACATCAAAATTTTAAATGTTTATACAACATACAGGCATCAAAGTCAAAAAGCAAACCACAAGCTGCAAGAAGTATTTGCAGGATACAACTTTTTAAAATTCGAATGTCAAGAATACACAAAGAGTGTTTTGCTGTTACCAAACAGATAGAAGCTGGTCAAAGTGTAAGAATGAACAGTTTGCAGAAAGGGAAAACTGAATAGCCCTTAACTACAATATGAGATGCTTGGCCTCATAAGTCATTAGAAAATTACACATTTATATACAGAGATGCCAATGTCCCAGTATAAAAAAATGTTTAAGTCTGGTAATACTGAATACTGAACACTATCCTGAAAAATAAACGGTCAACTAGCTCAACTCTTTTGTTAATATCTATTAAACTCAGTAGAAAGGACAGAAAGGACAGAAAGGACAGAAAGGACAACTAGCTCAACTCTTTTGTTAATGTCTATTAAACTCAGTAATATGCATGGTTGATGACCTAACATCTCCAAGGGATTCACCCTGGAGAAACTCTTTCACGTTTGTATCAGAAGACAAGTTCTAGGCTATTCACCACAGAATTCTTTCTAATTTCATAAACACACATGCCTCACGCACACACACACGCACGCACGTGCACAAATGGAACGGCCTCAGTTAACTTCAGCAGAGATTGCATAAATAAAGTTACATTCATGGCAGGATTTAAAGGGATGAACTGAATCTACATACATAATTTTGGATTATCTTACAAATGGAATGTGGAGAGGAAAAAGCAAGTTTTTTTTAGCAATATTGATGGTATGATATCACTTACTAAAAGATTAATGTGAATAAGTGGTCTTATTGAATCTAAGGGGGAAGTACATAGATATTTGTAATTTGATAGAAGTTTATATTTTAAGTGGTATAAAGCTTTAAACTTTCAAAAAATGTATAGTTTTTAAAAATGCTTTATAACACATACTTCATAATTTTTTAAAAAATACATTTTTAAGAAAATTTTCCTGTGAAAATATTTCATCATTATCAAAAGTTCCTACAAATCACTGGATAAACACTGTAAATGGAGTTCACCTCCTTTCTTGTTTTCTTTTTTCTTTAATATTACACACCACATTTTATTCAATTCCACATGACAAAAATAGTAACCTAGACTAAGATATCCATTTCAAGCTGTAGATGTGTCAAGCCACAAAATTTAGTAATAAAAAATATTGGATCTAGGTAGTAATTCCCAGCTGGTTCAGGGAGGTCCCAAGCCTTATGTGGTGTTTTCATATAAAAACAGCATCTCTCTTCACCATGCGGAGAGGGATGACACAGCCCAGAGCACAGGGAGGGTCAGCCCCACTGCATGGCCATCGGCCATCTTATTCACAGCACTTTGCATTTTCTTAGTTACATATACGGGCCAAGCATGGTGGCTCACACCTATAATCCTAGCACTCTGGGAAGCCAAGATGGGCAGATTGCTTGAGCTCAGAAGTTGGCGACCAGCCTGAGCCAGAGCAAGACCATGTCTCTGGAAAGTAGCTGGGTGTTGTGATGGGAGCCTATAGTTCCGGCTACTTGGGAGGCTGAGGCAAGAGGATCTCTTGAGCTCAAGAGTTTGAGGTTGCCATGGCACTCTACCAAGGGTAACAAAGTAAAACACTGTCTCAAAAAAAAAAAAAAAGTTCTCTATACATCCTTTTGGGATAAGAGAAAACACTACAAGGTCTCAAATACCAAGAAAAAAATGCACACTAAAAAGCACACGGAGAGATACAAACATTTGACTGCTGAAACACAGCACCATTAAGACACCTCCGCGTTCCTTTCCCAGTGCTTGAAACCCCCCACTCACTCATCCTGAGAGAAGAACACAGGCAAGTCACACCCCATCACCGTGGAAAATAGAGTTGCAGAGTTGGATGTTGATTTCCAAGAGAAATGAACAGCTAATGCAGTCTTGGAAACTCTTTTGTTAAATAACATGCTGCTGGCAGAAATAGCCCATCCTCTTACAATGATGTCTGTGGTTGTGTTAGAAATACATTGTTCTATTTTTCTGTCTCCACTGAGAGGACTTCATTGTCTGATTCCTCCTTTGGGGACATACGCTCCTCACACTGCTAACCCAGCTGCCCACAGTGTCTCCCAGACGATCTTGCTGGGGAAAGGGCATAGTCTGTGGGAAGTGTCAGACTCCAGCAGGCCTGCAATGCAGCAAAGGAGGTAGGCCACGCAACACTGTGCCCAGGGTCTGAGTCGGACACCAGCTCCTGGCCGCTCTCCCCACGGGGGACGATTCAGACCCAGCCACTGGCTTAAGATTGTACTTTGGATAATCAGAGGACATTGTGCTTAGCTTTCATCTGAGAAGATAATAAATCAGGAACTCGGAAAATTTCAAAGCTATGACTGATTAGACTGCCAGACACTTGCTATCTCTGTGATTTATCCTACCAAGTGGCCAGAGCCACAGGAAGTCCAAATCCTGTCTGTGGTGTGTAAGAAAAGAGACAACGGCTTACAGGGAAATTACACCTGTGCAGGGCACTTCCACTTAGCTCCTAGTCTGGGGTGATGCCACGGTCTTAAGATTAATTCATCCAAGTTTCCTTAGGGGTAGTCACGATTTTTTTTTCTTTTAATAAACATCGTTTTAAGGCATATACCATATGTTGTTTTAGAATTACATAGAAGCAATAATGTTTCACAGGGAAAATAGCAAGATCAAACAAAGATACAACACATATCAAACAAAGAAAGACAATAGCAAGATCAAACAAAGATACAACACATATCAAACAATAGCATAAAATTGTAAAGAGGTTTTCAAAGATTAATGAAATACTCAAAAAATACATTTAATACTGAGTGAAAAGCCCAAGATGTCACTGACAAAAAAACAAACAAACAAAAAAAAAAAAAACTTTAAAAACAAGCATGGAAAAGTTTCTACCTCAATTTGAACTTGGGTGCACTGAGAGCCTACTCTGCAGGGCACCTGGCAACAATAAGACTTATCACTAAAGCTATAATAAATACCGACGTCTTTCCCTAGAAGGCAAAACTTTATTAATATCTCACAAAGCTTCCATAGTAACATACCTGGAGAAGGAGCCTTTCAAAGGCCAGAAAGTTGTCCCACTTGGCGTTCTGCGGGTGTTTCAAAGTTTGAGCTGTGGCCAGCCCAAGCTGTAGGAGCCCACAATGATTCATTAGTGCTTTCGGGTTGTTCTTGAAGAGCTGAATATAGGATGTGAGCTGCCCTGGCGTGACTCTCCCTGGAAAAACATAATAATTTATCAGTGTACCCCCTTCTGGGAGTAGTAAAAATAACGAGAAGGATGTCATTAATAATGCCAAGGTCTCATATTTGCAGGGAACTTTACAGCTGTCTGCAAGCTTGACAAGTTGTGATCTTTACAACATAGCAACAACACCAAAAATGATACTAATCCTGCATTTTGCATGTAAGGAAAGGGATGTTAAGGGATCTGGCCGGGACATGTTGCTGGTAGAATTCATTTTATTGTTATACAGTACCCTGTGAATAAGTTTTCAAATAAAGTTACACAAATGAACATTTGTTAACTCAACTTGAAGTACCTCTCAGTGGCATTTAATGTATCAATCTAAGAGGTAAAAAGGTAATATTTCTAATTATATGCAAATGTGCAAAAAATAAGAGAAGAAATCTGGTATGAGTATAGTTAAAACTTTATCACTGATATCAGTGGGTTCTTGATAATGTTCATGAGGATAGAAGATGTCTGTTACGCAGAACAAAAAGGTCTGGAGAAGGAGGATTCAGAAGACGAGGTAACAGAAGAAAGGGTTTGGTGTGGGTAACACATGCATTGGCTACAATGGTCCTACATTGAGAGCAAGAGAGTTGAAAAGAACAAACAACCCCATTAACCAATTGGCAAGAGACATGGACAGAGTCTTTTCCCAGGAGGACAGATGAGCATCATCCCTACTCATCAGAGAAATGCAGATTTGAGGTATCCCCTAATCCCAGTGAAAATAGTGCACATCACAAAGTCCCAAAGTTGCAGGTGAGGGCGGGTGAGGGGAGAGGAGAACACTTATACACTGCTGGTAGGACTGCAAACTAATACAGCCTTTTTGGAAAGAAGTATGGAGAATCCAAAAAGACCGAAAAGTAGACCTTTCATTTGATCTTACAATCCCATTACTAGGTCTCTACCCAGAAGGTGTGTGCTGCATCTCCCCGAGGTGCTGAGAGCTGGCGTCCTAACCAGTGCTGGACAGCAGATTACATCTAATAAGCAGTTTTTATTAAAGATCATAATATACAAAAAATTCAGTCCTTGCCACAAGAAACTTAAAAGCCTGCAACACAGTTCTTTTTCTGTCTTTTCATTACATTATTGAACAGGTTAAGAATATTGAAGTTCCTTCTCACCAGTTTATCAGAGTAAACATCTAAAGAAAAACAACATCATGGGCAGTGCCTGTGGCTCAAGGAGTAGGGTGCTGGCCCCATATACCGGAGTTGGCTGGTTTAAACCCGGCCCTGGCCAAAAAAAAAAAACAAAAAAAAACTGCAGAACATCAGTAAGGATGAGGAAGGGGAGTCCTACTAGTTTCTTTGGTCCTTTGGTAAAGCACGGGTTCATTTCCAGTTTTCAAAGCTAGCAATATGATTGCACAACTTCTAATAAAAAAAAAGCTCATTAACACTTTTTCTTTGGTTTATTAATTTTACATATAGTAAAATTCACCCTTTTGTAGTGTAACAATTCTATGAATCTTGATTTTACCACTGTCACAATCAAGATACAGAACATTATTCAGTCATTCCAAAAAAGTGCCCCTCTGTGTAGTTAATTCTTTTTCCCCAATCCCAGCCCTTGGTGAACACTTACCTGGAATTTTTTAAAATTTCAGATTAACATGAGGGTATGAACGATTAAGTTACATTATTTGGGTTTGTTAGTTCAAGTCCAAGTTGTGGTTGAGTCCTTCATTCAGAGGGTGTGGCTTATGCCCCTCCCCGGAGCCCACTAGGTGAGAGCTTACCATAGTTCAAGTCCAAGTTGTGGTTGAGTCCTTCATTCAGAGGGTGTGGCTTATGCCCCTCCCACCAAGCCCCTTCATCCCTCGCTCCCCACCACTTGAATGTGTGTTTTTCCCTCATGTGGGTGTGTAGTTGTTTACCTGCTTATTTGCTCATCTGATTTCTGTTTCATAGTTTTGCTTTTCTAGACTATCATGTGAGTGGAATCACATAGAACGTCCCCATTCGAGTCTGGCTTCCCTCACTTTCACATAATGTATTTGAGACTCATCCATGTTGCTGCTTATATTATGAGTAGTTTAATTTCTTTTCTCTTTGAGTAATATTTCATTGTGTGGAAGCACAATAGTTTATTTAGCTATTTATTTAACCATTCACCAGTAAATGAGCTTTTGGGTTGTTTTCAATTTTTAGAAGTTAGAATAAAGTCTTCACAATTGTCTGTATAAAGGTTTTATGCGTGTATGTGTGTGTGGACATACATTTTCATTTTTCTTAGGTAAATTTCCAGGTGTGAGTTGCTGGATCATATGCTAAGTGTACATTTAATTGTATAAGAAAGTGACAAGCTGCCTTCCAAATTGGGCTGTCCCGCCCATGCATACTGGAGGTCTAAATCCTTGCTAATATCCAGCCCACACATACGGGAGTTTCAGTTGGCCTCATCCCCACTGATATTGATTTTGTCATACAGGAGTTTTAGTTGGCCTATATCCTCTCTGATACTTGATTTTGTCAGCTATTTTTACAGCATCTCCTTGTGGTTAATTTTCATTTTTCTAATGACATTGAACATATTTTCATGTGCTTATGTGCCACCCTATATCTTTTTTTGATGCCCGTTCAACTCTTGTTTTTAAAAGTAGGTTGTCTTGTTTTCTTATTCTTCAGTTGTGTGTGTTTTTGTTGTTGTTTTGTTTTGTTTTTTGGGACAGAGTCCCACGCTGTTGACCTGGGTGGAGTGATGTGGCCATCATAGCTCACAGCAACCGCAAATTCTTGGGCTCAAATCATTCTTTTGCCTCAGCCTCCTGAATAACTGGGACTACAGGCGCCTGACACTAGGCCTAGTTTTTCTATTTTTAGTAGAGATGGGGAGGAGGGGGTCTCACTCTAGCTCAGACTAGTCTCCAACTCCTGAGCTCAAACAATCTACCTGCCTCTGCCTCCCAGAGTGCTAAGATTACAGGCATGAGCCACCTTGCCCCACCCTTACAATTCAGTTCTGAGTGTCCTTAACTTTTATTAATTTGTTACTTCAACATGTATTTCTGGTGACAGGCAGTGTTTTTGCTTCTAGGATTAAATCCATGAAGATATCCCCACAGAAATCCTTGTCTTTGTGGCCAAAAAATAAGACAAATGACAACTCAATGATCTCCTAATTAATTCAGCCTAGTACTTGTCATCGTCTCTTAAAGAGGGGACCTTTTGTACAAATGATTAATATTTTTATGGAATGATATCTTCGGACACCAATTACATTAATTGGGAAAACAAATTTGCACATGAAATGGCTTCAGATCCTAAGCTTGCCCTGGACTCCATTTATTTATATAAACACTATGCTGTAGATGATGCATTGTGTTTCCTGAACACAGAATTTAGTCTATCAAGAGACATTCATTTACCAATCGTATACAATTATGTAATCACGACGGTGGCAAGTATTGCCAAGAAAAACTGCCTTGAGAATGTGAAAGTCTCTCTATACTGAAAGGTGGACCTGAAAGGTAGTGAAAGGCGAGGAGACAAACCTCCAGAGGCAGAGAATGGTTCAAGCCAAGACTTTATCTAGATTTCAAGGGCGGAGCTCAAAATAGCATCAGCGCACCACCTGGCTGAGAGACTTGCTTTTACAGGGCTTTAGCACAGGAGCAAAAAGGTGCTGAGAGATATATTGGTCCACGTCAATTCAAATTAGGCATTAAAATTCAACTAATCATCTCACAACACCCCTCTGAGCCTGTCACACCTCCTGTAGTGCCAGGAAGTTGGCAAGGCATTCAGACCACCAGAGAAAACCCCAGGAGCTTAAGGTAGCTGTGACGTGCCCTTTATTCAGCTGTGGCCTCCAGCAAGCAAGCATGAGGACATTCACCTTAATCCAGCTCCTGGCAGGCAGGTGAGCCGGCATAAGCTTTCTCTGCATAAGAAGTCAGCAGAGGAAAGCCTCAGAGCCTTATATAGCTATATAGCGGTCAAAAAAACAGAGGCCTTGAATCAAGCCCTTAACAGGTGATCATGGTTAACTTAAAACAGTCTGCACCTCCTGGCTGTCAGGCAAGAAAGCCTAATTGACTGATCTTCCCCACGCCCCCTTTTATGTAAATATAGTATTGAAACCTGACCAATGGGGTGGTTTGGGGGAGTGTGTCCCTGGGGGAGGGGCTCCCAAACCTCACATATTTGATATAAAAAAACCCACCTTGGGGCAGGACCTGTGGCTCAGAAGGGTAGGTGCCAGCCCCATATGCCAGAGGTGCCAGGTTCTAAACCCAGCCCTGACCAAAAAAATAAATAAAGGCCTACCTTCCCAATCCCATCTCCTCAACTGAGAGGAGGAATAAGCAGACAAAAATACATACAATTTATGTGAAATATAAACTATGTCTGAGACTGCAGGAAATGCAAATCACTAGAAAAAGTCATCAGAGAAACTATTTAGATTTCTGTTATAACTACATGTATCCTAAAGAAAAGTCTCTGTTTAAAAAACAGTCCATTTTCTTATCCAGTTAGCATTTCTTAGCTGAGAGTCAGGCTCGGTCGCCATGTTTCTGGAATGCCACCTTCCTGCCTTGGGCATATGAGCTGAAGGAATGAATGAGTCTATTTCCTAACAGGAAGACAACAGAACCTCCACTGTGAATTTAGCAAGTATTCACCTTTGCTGCTCGATTCTGCTCTGCTTGGTAGATCCTTTTACACATTCATGCCACTAACCCTTCATTAGATAGAAGTCAAGAAAGCAGATTTTTTTCCCCTAAAAATCCATAATATGCTAACTGGGATTTAAGTTAAGGTGTATTTCACACAGACGCTTTCATATATAGGCGGGTGACACTTTCACAATTTTATTTTTAATCATAACCTTACAGAAAACCAACGGATATCAACTAATTGACTAGCAGAAATGCTATAGTGAGACTAAGGGTTCTTGGTTCGTATCAACTAAAATAGCAAGGAACGAGAACCAGGTGTTCAACACGTAATGGACAGAATGTTTATTCTTAC